CTCCATTACTCATGCCCAAAGGTGCTGTATATAATAGTTCTCTCATTGTAAAAACTTCATGGGAACAAACCACTTGAAGAATTTCTCTGAAGGTATATAGGGAAAATAATCTCAGTACCTGCAGACACACACCACCAATGTGTACATACAGTAGCCAGTCTTTTCTCTCACTTAATGCTCCCTGTAGTTAAAACTAGAATAGGATGGTGGGAAGAATTATTTTATGACAATTGTACTAGAATTTTGCTGACTCTTTAACTGAGACTTGGAGCACCAAATTCTTGTCTCAAGTCAGATCACAGAAATTAAATTTAAAAATAAATTCTTGAGTTTTGATCATATGGATAAGTAGGAATACTTTTTTTGCTGTTGAATTGTCAAACAGGAAAACTGCCTCACTCACTGGGAGACAGTGGATAGAAAAATTGATTTATTTCTTATCTAGGCATCACCACATCACAGAACATCAGTATTGGCTGGAGCTGGAGTACAGTCCAGATTATATTTTTGTGAAATATAATTAAAATCAGAAATTGTGTGAGTGAGTTTTTGCCCATGCAGAGGTAGCAAGATAAATCTAGCTGTCATCTTCTGGGAAGCATAAGGAAAACCAGCCAGAGAATCCTGTGCTGTTGTAGCTCCAGTGCCAACACGATCTTTCTTGAATTCCCTTTGTAGTGAGAGTATTGGCAAGATCTAATCTTGGTGGGAAAAAAATTAAATTAAACCAGGAAAAATTTCCCATTTTCTCAGGCATCCACCTGAGATATCCTTTTCTTTCTTTATCTCCTGAAAATGGACCTTTCTCCCTCCTTTCTCCAGTGAAGGGTTCAATTTCAGCCTGCAAGGAAAACTTTCATTTTGTGGTATTACAAGAAAAACTGAAGGAATGAAGATGTGGATACCCAGAAGTGATCCTCTGATGCCATCTTAATTGAGTTTCCTTATTAGCTCAATCAGGCATAGTATCGGGTCTTTCCTTGAGTAGGTCTGAAGCAGAATTCCCTATCCCTGCAGTCAGCAGGTATTTTGGGGAGGAAAGTAGAATCATGCAGGGGTGAAAGGTGTTCATCATTCCAGTCAGTGCTATTCCATCACCATGCAGCATTAGCACAAGTTTTTATTCCTGTATTTGAGCTTGTAACCAATAGGTAGGAAACTGAATTCTTTCACCAGTTACCTGAACACTGATTTACCAGTATTTAAAATTAAGTGTATGGATAGTCTCCTTAAATTAATGAGACTTTTAAGAGACTGTAAGTGTACTGTTAATCATTTTCTTAAGCAACCTCTAAGAGTACAGACCCAAGAAACACATTAAGGTTTGCTTAAAGATAAAGGATGATTTATGTTATGGAGGATTTAATTCAAAAAGCACATAGAACCTTCTAAATTTACGAGAAAACAAACAAACAAAGGACAAAAAAATACTCTTTCAAGTGTTTCATAGGGAAATAATACTTTGGTTATCACCTCTTGTCTTTACCTGATTCTGGGTTATTTGCAAAGATTCTTCCCTGTTCCTTTTGTCTGTCTGAATAGGTTTTATAAAAATGTCTGGACTGCAGTATTTTTATGTTTCAGAAATATTTTCCATACATTTGAAATGCAGAATCATTACTGTGTACAACATGTTTTTCAGACAGTAACAATTAATTTCTGTGGCCAGATGTGAAACTCTGGGGGAAAAAAGTCATAATGGATGTACTTGCAGGAATTCCCTTTCTCCCTTACCATAATAGAGCAAATGGCACTGAGATAATACTGTAATTGTTTGCCTCCTTCTGAAGCCAATATGAAGATTAAAGTACCATCTGGCTTTCTGAAAACTAGAGTTAGAAAACTTCTGTCTGGAAAAAAAAAGCAGTTGGATCCCTGTTGGGCGGACATTTTATATGTAATTTAACTTTGCTGATCACCAGTTAAAATTCTAACCACAAATCAACACTCAAAACTTCTCCCTCTTCATAATATCAGCACCTTAATATAAATTTTTCAAAGTACATTTTCCTGGAGGTCTCCAATAACCTGGAGTCTGTTCTTGTGTTTATGCTCCAATAGAGTTTAAAGACTGAGCCTGAAAAGTAAATCCAGTTAGAAAATTTCATAAAGGTTCATTTTTTTTCTTTGTAAAATAGTCATGTTGTTTTAGTTGCCAGCATTACTAATACTACACTTTTTGCACATTTTTAGCAATTTTGCTATGACATTTTGACAAATCTTTTTATTTAGTATTACTTTTAGGATCTTAAATATTTTTTGCAAACATTACGGAATAAAAAATCGTTTTAAGTCATGCTTCATCTGTGAAATCTATTTTTCAGGAAATATTTATAAAGCGATTTCAATAAAAAATGATCCATTTAAATTAGCAAGAAATTTCTCAGAAAAAGAAAATGAAGCTGTTTCAAGCTCTATGAAACAAAAATAGTTCCAGGGTTTCTTTTATAAATTAAATATTTTTTTCTTGGACTTTTCTTTGCTACCAGCTCATCTAAAAATTTGAGTTGGTAATAAGCATTGCATGATTATTAGTGAAGATTTCATCATCAAGAATAGCCCAGGGTGCTAAGTGTTGAAAATACTGTGTCTAGTTTTTTTCCAGGCAGCATTACCACTATCAGAACCAGAAAGCCACTTTCATTTGATTACTCCTGTATATAAAAGAGTAATCAAATGAGTATGAGCTTGTATAAAAGCCTATAAACAAACACACATGGGAACTGTCCCCCTTTTCCCTCTTCCCTCCCTCCACCCCCTCAATGTCAAAGCTGCTAAAAAGTGCCTCCAAGTCTTAGAGCAAAATATTATCACATTTGAATCTGGAGGTCTTTCTCTAGTCTGAGATCCCTGCATTAAAAAAAATAAAAAAATAAAAAAAGCAAGTAAAATTGTGGGTGATAGGATGGAAAAGTAACAGAGGGCTCAAGAACCAGGTTTTTGCCTGACCAATGAACTGTTTCGAGGGCTCAAGAACCAGGTTTTTGCCTGAACTGTTTCAACTGATTAATGTCTGCAGCAATAAGAGTTATGCTCTTATATGTCCATATGTCCCTATGGACAGTCCTTTGTTCCTCTACTACACATCTTCTATATGGATCAGAAAAATTCCATTTGTATCTAGTGAAATCTCATCCTGGAGCTAAATGGAACAGCATTGAAAGTTCAAAAGAAAGCTAGAGTCATTATAAACCAAAATGAACCTAAATGCTAATGTGGGTGATGGTATACTACCTGAAAAAGTCCTGCGTGAGAATTTAATGTAATCACCATCCTTTTTGCGTCTACAAAGGCAAATACGGTGTCTGGGCACTTAACAGCATAGTAAGGTCAGGTAACTGCATTAGCTGTGGATCAAATATCTTTCTACCTATGCTTCAAGTCAATGGGCCTCACATGGACAAACATTTGTGTGGAAGAGGCTTCAGGCTGTGGTAGGAGAATGTCAGGTCGTTTAGATAGTCATTCTCTTGAAACACTTTTTTGTCCATTTGCTCTCCCTCAGAGAAGTCTGTCATTTTGTCCAAATCTCAAGCTTTCTACAGAGTCTTTCCCACTAGCTTTGAAAGGATTTGGCCAGAGTGCTTACATACCAGTCTGACTGTATTATTCAGGCTGGAAAAGGAAAGCATAGCTGGTGGGCAAGGAAGTCTGTTTCAATAAAGTGCTTTTTTGAAAATATTTAAAACTCAAAATCCAGTCAAGATCCAATTATTTCAGTTTCCTTCTGGGTGAACTCAGTGCCCCTTTGGACCAAGCAAACTTCTAATGGCTTGAAGAGTCTATGAGGAGCAAACCTTGCTCTTCTTCTTGTGTCACCTGACCAGTAGTGCTGGATCAAAAGCACTGAGCCTCACTGGGACAAAGCAGCCTGATAATACCCACTGTTGTTAAGCCTGGTACCCCGCAACCGCTGTCCCATCACCTCCAGTTTTGTTTCATTCCTGCCTTTCTCAGGAGGGAGCTCTTCTACTACTCCCACCAATCAAGTTCTTACCTCACACTCATGCACAGATCCAGAAGACTGTCCCTCAGGAGGGAGCCTAAGTTATCCTCAAAGCCATCTGATAGCTAGATATCAATGCACTCCTCATGTCACAGTGCAGATGGCTTTGAGGCATTTCTGCTTTTAAAAAAAAGATTTTGTAGCAGGATGATTTCAGTAAAAGCCTCCTGATTCAGTCAAGTTATGTGATTTTTATCTCGAGAGAACCTGAGGCTGAATTTGGCATTTTGTTCTTCAAAGGTGTGAGCCCCTTTATTGTCTTTGGGCCAATTTTAAAATTAATATTTAGCAAAGCATGTAGTTATTGCTATGTACTTCAGTCTTGGCTAGCTGCATTGTATTTAGCAAGATCTGTAACATAAAATTCTCACAGCTCAAACTCATTGAGATATTAATCTTAACAAATTTAGGAAAGACTACCAGTCAGGTTTGAATAGAGTATTCACTGTGAGCAATGCTGGGAAACAGGCAAGGTATGGGCACCAAACTCTAATAATGTGTATAATTTCAAAGCTATTTCAAAAATGATCTCTGTAACTATTGTCTCACCTTCACTGACTGTAAAAATGCAAACACCAAAGTTTGCCCAAGGCAACTCGGGTTTTGAGTATTAATTTATATTTGTAAAGCATATCAATGAGGTAAGTCAAGACACCATTTGACCATGAACATGCAAATACATATAGTCCTGTATTTTTACATGTAGCAAAAAGATGTAGACAATAATTCTTTTCTTTCTGAAATGCATGAACTTGCCTTCATCAGCCAACTCCATAACACACAAATGTCAGCAGCAAGCTGTGTTGAGATGCCACTTGTCATTTTATTTTGATCAGGACAAGAATATGGTTTTAATATGTCTTGTGATTTTCTTTTAGGTAAAACATTCCACCCAGGGTATATCATAATTTCTCCTGCTGTATTTTTCTATAAAACCTCTTTTCTGTATGAAGAAAAATGCACTCTTTTGTTCTTTTCCACTTTGTCTCCCCAGTGCATAGTTTGGGACTGGGATTCCAATGGAAAGCATGACTTCATTGGAGAGTTTAGCTCGACTTTCAAGGAAATGCGAGGAGCTATGGAAGGAAGACAGGTAAGTGGAAACCACCCAAGCAATGTCAATATGTAATCTTTGTAGAGCAGTGTTCCTCAGGCAATCCTGTAATAAAGCAAGTGACACTGCCTCATGGTCTCTCAGAAGTTAGTTGCTGGTTTGGTCTCTCTATAGGTTTTATTGTTACCTGGATGTGATAATCTGAAAATGCAAAAAAGCAGCCTTTCCTGTACTTCCATGCCTGCAATACTTAGGGTCATTTTCTAGTTCCCATTCTACAGGCATTTCTTTCTGCTAAGATTTATTTCCTTTGAGCCCAAGCAGCTGGTTTCTGTGAGGTGCTGTGCTGCTATGGCAAAGCAGATGCACAGTCTGGGTACTCAAAGCATTTCCCTACTGACGTAAAAGCCTTTCTTGGGTGAGGCTCATTCTCCATCTTTCTCCATTTCTCATATGCTGCCTTCATTACTGCCAGCTTTAACTTGAGCCCCTCATGATTAAACTAATCAGTTTCCTAAATATTTCATGAATTACAGTCCTATGGGAAAATGAAATTGTTAGCTCATTAATAATTTCACTTCTTTATGTCAGCCTGGTCTTTTCAAATCGAAGTTGATGGTAACTATTGAATATGATAAATGATTTGGCATATCTAATTCCAGAAATTGTTGTTTTCTATTATTACTTACTTCTAAAGGTATTAGTTTTGATAAATTCTCTGAGGGGGAGGTAAAGATGTTGAATCTGCTGATAATTTGTATTCACTGTTCCATGGTGATCTCAAAACTAAATGCAAGTGCCTAATAAGTTTTATTTCGTTTTTATATTAAAGATTCTGTTTATAATGTGTTAATAGAAAGCTAACACAGAGTCAAAAGGTGTTTGCTAAATGGTAAGCAGTCAGGCTATGCCATAAGTCAAGAAACTTTTATGGTTATTCTAGTTGTTTTCTATTGAAGTTCATAGAACACACTAAAGTTTGCCAAATGTTGCTCATGTGTGTAAAATACTGTTGATGTATCAGTCATGTATCTTCTGAACAGAATCTGAGTGTAAATGAAACCCTGTTTTCCTCTCTCAAATTAAATCAGAAGATCAAAACTTTAATCAAATGGAATTTGAGTGGAAATACAGAGGTAAACAGATCCCACAATGAATAACATTAACAAGACCAGTGATGTCACAACACTCCAAATTTGTATACAATTACCTGTGGCTGGGGAAGGAACTGTGTGAGAGTCATAAAGGGGGTGTATTTTCAATGTAAATGCCTTCAAAAAACCATCCCTAAACAGACAGCTTGTTGGCCAAGATAAGAGACTTGCAGACCAGAGTGCCAGGACCAGCTCTGAAGGATAAACTATATACTCTTTATTATGATGGAGAAACAGTTTGCTTGTTTTCATCCTCAGCTAGCAAAAAGGATGATTACTCCTTCAGAGGCATAAGAAGTTACTACAGCCATTTGTCAATTTTTGTCCTAGGCTGACACTGCAGTATCACAGTGCTGCCCAGGAATGTTTTAATCTTGCATCATGCTTTAAGTGACTGAAGCTTTGTCTTGCTGAGAGCCTGCTATTTGCTGTTCATCAGGCTGCCTTTCACCTGTAACACTGCAATCTTCCTCTGCACACCTAGGACATTGTGCCATTAGTTTTCCCTTGCCCCTCTCATTCTGTTGCTAGTGTGCAGTTATTATGTGGGCTTGCACCTGTGAAACCCAATGCTGTTGTTATAGCTAGTTCTCATAGGACACAATTACCAGCAATGTGAGAATCAGTCTCCCTTCTCCTCTTTTCTAACCCTTGTTTTGTAGTCTATTCTAGAGGGAAACAAGATTTAGCGGATAAGAGAGTAAGCATTTGTCATTTAAGTGGCTGATAAATAGTGGCCCAAAAGTATACATGCCCATACTAGATGGCTGTTGCACCTGATGAAAGCAGGCTTTGGTGATCATGGACAAGAACAAGCAGTAGGGAGTTTGAGTAGATCCTGGGAAAAATGACATAGTTATTATGGAAAAATGTCACTTGACTGGAGCCAGAAAGCAATTTCCCTTTCTGTCTCTGTCCCTCCCTCATCCTATCTCATTTATCTCTGTTCTCCAGAAAGAACTATTGCTGTTAAAGGTAATATAAGCTATTATCTGTGGACTCCATGAAAACATCTTTGTGCACAGTTTATGTCAACATCCTTTCTGCCACATTAAGTATTGTGGTTAGCATTTGTCAGTTCTTTCCTTTAGTTTTAGCCCCCCTAAATAGAGAGCATGTGCCTTAGAGTGTTTACTTTGAATAAAGGGGTTTTAGTAAAACTTGAGGGAATGGCAGAGGAGGAGGAAAGTGTGTTGCCTTCAAGTGGATGTGTTGCTAGGTATTTCTGATAAGTAAGGCCAAATCAGATAAAAATAATTGTATGTGGCTGAGGAGATGAGTAGGTTAAACATAATTCTTTGTTCCTAGAAGAGATCTTTTCATAGCCTACGACCAGAAAATATTGGTTTCCATGTAGTACTCCTTGCAGTCAGAAGAATAAAACTGCCAGCTTCATCCTTCAGCCCATGGCATTAAGCATTCTTGCACATAGCATCACAACAGTGAGTGTCAAAGATGAGGACCAAAACCTGGAATTTCATCTCAGATGCTGTGGAAGCCAGTGTAAAGAGCAGAGCTCGGGTCTGACATCCCTATATGAGTTGCTAAGGAGACACAGTGAAAGTTCTTATTCTGGTTATATTTTCCTTTCTGCAGTAGACTTTACAGCCAGCTACAGTACATTGCTATAGTTCTGTCAAAAGATAATGAAAAGAAAATCAAAACACCCTAGTGATTTTCAACCAGGGTTTTTCACTTTTCCAGGCAACTGGAGAGAATAGGAGGGAGCATTCATCATTGATGGGGAACTTTCCTTAAGCATCAGCTGCAAATCTGTGCAGTGTTAAAGGAGGCTACACCAACAGCACAGCTCTCCCTCTCTGCTGATCAGTAACATCTGTATTGGTTGGTATCAGCACCACAAGTTATCATAAATGCATTAAGCAATAAGAATGAGAGTACCACAGTTTGTGTTGGGGAGCAGGAAGAGCTGTGTGTCATTTGTGAACTGCTAGTACTTCTCACCATTTCTTCAGCTCACCTTGTCTCTGGAGGAGTTGTCAAGGATCTCGAAGTTGCCTTTTAATTGTACATAGTTCATCCTGTAAAAAGCACAGGGCATTCTGACCCATTCTTCAACTTCCACCTCTCAAAGTAAAGATATTTTTATCTTGTAGCCAATCTATCAACTGCTACAGAACCACTTGAGACTGTCAGAATGGATATGTGTCACCTACTTACTTACAGGAAGTGATGGTGCTTCTAGGACTGTTTCAGTTCCATCCCAGGGCTGGGTACTGATTATCCAAAGTTTTGAGTGTGAGCCTTCAATGAGCTTACAGTTGGCTTGCTGGCTTGCCTCAGCTGTGAGATTTCTCAGGAATGTATGTTTGAGACCAGGTATCATTTAGGTAGCCTGCTAATGACTGAACCAGTACCATGTAAAGGAAGAAGAGAAGATTCCTTAACTGAATGAGTGATTACTTGTTTTGATCAAAAGTTGCATAATCAGTTTATGAATTTCTTTCCTAAATGTGGCAGGTCTTGGGTAAGAGCCACAAATCTTGAATTATGACTCCTTCAGAGTGTCAGTTGCCTCTGCATGGCTGAAAGGACTGAATTCCAGGAAAACTCACTAGCCTTTGGTTGGTGGTACAGATTAAATCCGTTCATGCTGTTTAAGAATACTTCCTGATCATGAACAACCTTGGGATAATAACTTGGTGTGCATTTCCGTCCCATAAAAATTACCTTCTAGTCACAGACTGTAACATTTTGACACCTATCCTGTTTTCATACTGACCACCAATAAAAAATGGCACAAAGACATCCTGTTATTGAAATTCACATCTGAAGCAGCCATTGCATGAACCACAGTTTAGTGGTGAACTCGGGTTCACAGTTGGACTCAATGGTCTTGGAGGTATTTTCCAACCTTAATGATTCTACGATTTCTAAACCTTCATTTAATGCTTTTCAACATTCCAAAATGCATTAGTTACTCCTTCACCATAATCTTGACATAAGAAAACACAGTAAGAATAAGACCATCCCTATTTGTGACATTTTTTTAGTGTAATGCTAATACCTTGAGTTTATAGTATTCTTAGGATTTTTTCTGAATATATGTATAATATATATTTTTGATATGTGTATAAAGTGGCAGTTTTTAAGGTGTTCTAATATTAATCTATCAAGCATATTAAAAGAAGACTAGAAAAGCTTAAGATTATTTAAAAATGTAAAGACTATTAAAGCTTATCTTAGTTGAAAGGAGGAATCTTCTACTACTTTTTTTTTAATGGAGGCAATGAAGCCAGAGGGATATGGGGGGGAAAAAAGTCAGAGAAATCACCTGGATCTCCTTGCAGCACAGGAGCTATGTAAGGGAAAAAAATTGTTCCTGTATTATAAAAAAAAAATCATGCACACAAACACAAAAGGAAAGGGAGGAAGAAATTCTGCTGTACTTACCATCTCCACTGACATTCCCACAAGTTTGGGGTGTTACTGGGGCATGAAAAGAGCTGCTGAGGTGCACAAGACTCGATGGTGTCCTGCAGGGATCTAAGCTGGGTCCCCACTTTTGCCCAGGTATTTGCCTATGACCCTCACTCAGTGCCTTGGCATCATGTAACTCTTCAGATAACTGTGTGGTGAGAACTTTAAGGCTTCAGTAATGGGCCAAGGAGTTTGTTGACACCAATGGACAATTCCATGCCTAGTTTTATCAGGAGACAGCCAAGTTCATCCAGGATTGCCTTCAACATCAGGAGCTGATGCTGGCTGTGGAGAGTGTAGCCATGTCAGGCACCTGCCAAATCCCTGTGATGAGGCAGCCAGTAGTACAGCCTCAAGGTACAGTGCAGCTGAAGCTGGGGTCCTTGGCTGGAGAAGCAAGAAATGCTTTAATTTTCACTTCATTCCCTAGAGGCAAGTTTCCAGTGGAAACCTCTGAAATAGTGATTAAAAGCAGCTCTTCTCCCATGGTGAATGTATTTCTGGGACAGAAAGAGAGAAAAAAACCCATCCTGTCCCCTTGCCTAGAGGGACAGCAGGAACAAACTAGCTTTTCAGGCAGGAGGAGATGCAGTTCACTTAAAAGTGACTTGTTTTTCTTGAGGCATCAGAAAGAGACAATGCAGGATATAATGCTGCCTGTTATTGATTGGATTTTTTCACTCCATCCATTAGACCATGGTTCCTCCTTTGTCATTTACAAAGTATGCAATTTGTTGTAGCAGCTGTACAGGAAGGAAGAAGAGAGAAACAAAAGAACTGCAGGGCAGGCAAGAGAACATGCAAATGCTAGCCCAATCTTTGCCACAGCTCTCTAGCCCTTTCCTCAGAAGACTACCCGATGTCCTGGTGTGCAAGCACACCTAGGTGTCCTAGAGAAAGCAATTGCTCTCTATCATTTGTCTTGTCTTAGACTACATGAAACTCTCCTGACATCTTCAGTTCTTCCTCTGAATAGCTTGTGCTATTGGTAGCCACATACTGTCCAAATTTTGGTTCTACAATGGTTGTCTTCATTTAGTCAACTTCACTTCCCTCTGCTGTGTGTGGCATGGGCATTTGCAACATTGACTTTCCTTTCTCTTATAAGGTTTTGGTAAGAGTAGGAGTAAGAATGTTTGGAAAGGCAGCATCCTTCACTGAGAGAATAACATCTCCCATTGAGGGATCAGTTTCTCCTCATCACAGCCACAAGAGGATTAGGACCTTGCAGGTGTCTGTTCAGTTTCTCCTCATCACAGCCACAAGAAGATTAGGACCTTCCAGGTGTCAGCATTAGTTCACTGACTCTCATTGAAGAATAGCTGAATGATGTTTGTTTTATACTCAGAAATTCTCTGCACAGTGGTTTAAATCTCAGGGTATAAAAGCAACATCAACACAGTTATAGTCTCGGGAGTTCATTACTATCATTTGCAACATTTCTTAAATTAACAGGAGATAGTTTAAAACCAGGTTGCTTTCTGTTCCAGATTCACTGTGTTGTTTGAAAGAGCTTGCATAGCCCAGAGCTGTCAGGCATTTGGAAGAAATGCTAAGTGACTTTCAGAATGATGAATCCAAACTTCACAATGTTTACCACTACTGTCAGATTGCAGATTCTTGCATTAGTTTCCTCTCAACTGAAAAGTTAATTTAAGAGCAAAGATGAATCAATAAAAAGCAATGTCAGATACCAAATCAATATGGGAATGTAGGAACAGACTGGAAATTGAGGTTTGCCTCACAGTGCAAGCAAAATATTTGAGAATTGTTTCTCAGTGTTACTTACCTGCTTAGAGCTGTATTCTGAACTCTGTTCTCATTGAAAGAGCTTGAGATATGATAAGGGCTGTATAGGGAATTTCCTTCAAATGATGCTTGTCAGATCTTTAGCTTGAACTGTGGGAATTGCCGAGGTCAGAACTGGATTTTGGTGGGTAAATGAAGATTGAGTTTTATGTAAAACAGTCTTATTGGCTTTATTGAGTTTTATGTAAAACAGTCTTATTGACTTTTGCAAGTCTATGAACTGGGAAATGTCTTCTCACTTCTCTCCTATTCCCTCTCCTTCTTTATACATCAAGTTGATGTACATATCAACAGATTTAGTAGGTGAA